CCCCCCCCCCCCGCACAAGAAAACCCTGTTTGAAAGCTACTTCTCCCATTGCACTACCAGCAGAACAGTAGTTGCTTATTTCAGTTTTCCATACTTTGTCTAAAGAACCACATTCTTCTTATGTATCTAAGGCCTCTTCCACACTGCCCCTATATCCCAGGATTTGATGTCAGATTATCTTCTTATCCCAGGTTATTTGGCAGTGGGGTGAATTACAGGGAAAGATCAACTCCCCTGTTTAAGGAGTTTCACTGGCTGCCATTTGTCTTCCGGTCCCAAGTCAAGGTGCAGGTCATAACCTACAAAGCCCTAAACGGTTTGGGACCCGCCTACCTTTGTGACCGGATTTCTCTCCATGAACCAACCCGAGCTCTTGCCATTATCACAGGCTCATCTTGTAAGCTCAAGGGAGAGAGCCTTCTCCTCTGTGGCCCCCCGACTCTGGAACTCATTGCCTGGTGAGATTAGGAAGGCCCCCACCTTAGAAATTTTCAAGAGGGATCTCAAAACCTGGTTTTTCCGATGCGGTTTTGGAGAGTAGCCATATTATCATACACAGTTGCTCCCCCTCAACGGTTTCGGTCCCCAGAGTATATTCCCCACCTGTATGAAGGTCTATATATGATCCCGTTCCTTTACAAGTTTCTCCCCCACAAACAATCTGCTCCATCCCTAAGTCATCCTGATTTTAGTATTTTTAGTATCTTGCACATGCAGTCTGCTCATTGTTATGTTAGGTTATCTTATTTTACTGGAATGGAATGGATATATGGACTCTGAACCTGAGCATGAGATTGTTTTAATATTTTATTATGTATTGATGTTTTAATTTTAACTGTTGAATTGCTTTTTTGTACTTTATATTGCTGTCAATTGATTTAGGCATGTAATTGTGCCTCCTCTGTAAGCCGCCCTGAGTCCCCCCCGGGGTGAGAAGGGCGGGGTATAAGTAGATGAAATAATAAAATACTGTGTATGATTTTGCTTTATCGTCTTTGCACTCATATGTTGTATGTATTTAACTGTGTTGTTATTGTGTTTTGGTTTTATTTCATTGTAATATGCTGTTGGGCTTGGCCTCATGGAAGCCGCCCCGAGTCCCAATGGGGAAATGGTGGTGGGGTATTAAATTATATTATTATATAATCCAGTTTAAAGCAGATAATCTGGGATCAGATCCTGGGATATAGGGCAGTGTAGAAGGGGCCATAGACTGTGACAGTGAAATCAGTAGCTGTTCTTAATGTTATTGATCATAGAATCATAGAGTTGGAAGAGACCTCATGAGCCATCCAGTCCAACCCTTTGCCAAGAAGCAGGAAAATTGCATTCAGAGCACCCCCGAAAGATGGCCTTCCAGCTTCTGTTTAAAATCCTCCAAAGAAGAAGCCTCCATCACACTCTGGGCCAGAGAGTTCCACTGCTGAACAGCCCTCACAGTCAGGAAGTTCTTCCTAATGATCAGATGGAATCTCCTTTCTTGTAATTTGATGCCATTGTTTCGAGTCCTAGTCCCCAGGGCAGCAAAAAACAAGCTTGTTCACTCCTCCCTATGACTTCCTCTCACATACTTATACATGGCTATCATGTCTCCTCTCAGCCTTCTTTTCTTCAGGCTAAACATGCCCAGCTCTTTAAGCCTCTCCTCATGACCCTTGATCATTTTAGTTGCCCTCCTCTGGACACATTCCAGCTTGTCAAGATCTTCCTTCAATTGTGGTGCCCAGAATTGGGCACAGTATTGCAGATGTGGTCTGACCAAGGCAGAATAGAGGGGTAGCATGACTTCCCTGGATCTAGACACTATGATCCTATTGATGCAGGCCAAAATCCCATTGGCTTTTTTTGCCGCTGCATCACATTGTTGGCTCATGTTTAACTTGTTGTCCACAAGGACTCCAATATCTTTTTCACACATACTGCTCTTGAGCCATGCGTCCCCCATTCTGTAACTTAGCTTTTGATGGTGGGAAAATCTCTGTGGATGCATTTTATTGTAGATAATGTAGTTCATTGTAGCCCCTATCCATTTCAGGAAGTGGCCCACCCTAATATTAGAATTTAGAAAAATCAAATCACTCAAGTACCACTATTTCTTTAATATGAGAAATTTATATTTTCCAGCAAACGGAGAAAGACAGTAGAAACTATCTTCATTAGCTTCATTCAGGAAATTTATGGTAGTGAAACTGAAATTGTCTCAGCAAATTTGCAGAATCTTATAAGATTTATTCCTAATGCATTTTGCAAAATAATGGAATGACGTGTAAAAACGCAAAAAAGCACTCAACTGGTCAGTACCATTTATATGATTACGTGATTAAATAACATGAATATCACTAGATAATGTTTGTTTTTCTTTCTTCCCTTCAGAGGTGGACAGGACAGCAAGTATGGATGGTCGTCACAATCTTGCAAATGATGGGAGCTGCAGTTCCCCTCCTATGGTTGAAAACAGTGTCATAACTAACACAGTTGATCCAGTGTTGACGAGCTACAGAAGTGGTTCCTTAGTGGAATACAGTTGTTTCCAATTGCATCTGATGAAAGGACCTAATACAGTTCACTGCATTCAGGGAAGTTGGACAAACCCTCCAATTTGTTTAAGTAAGTCTTAGGTGCCCATCTACACTGTCCTTTTAGTACAGCTTCAAGTGAGTAATGAAGAAAGCGGTTTCACTGTGCACGTGATTACATAGGAAATCTTGGAACCAGTTTGAGGCTCAAGCATAACTACACAAACCACAAAGCACTGGGGCACATTAAGAGCTTTCTTTCATAAGCTCTTGTGGCAGATTGTTGCCTGGCCACTTCAGTTTGAAGTTAACTTCGAACTGCATTAAATGGTCAATGCAGATGGGGCTTTAGAAAAAATTAAAACATCAGATCCCCTTTTAGGAGGAGATGGTGCTGTAACTGAAGGATTGTCAGAAATCAGGAGATTAAGTCCTCATTCAAAGATGAACAACAATGATCAGGAATTTGAACTTGTGCGTCTAGTAGATTCAGCAATCACATAGGACATCTCGTAACCGTCTTCTCCATTCAGATGAGATATATTGCAATTCTGTTTAAACTATTAGCAACCATTTTAAATTTAGGTTCTTGTAGGTTTTTTTCGGGCTATATGGCCATGTTCTAGAGGCATTCTCTCCTGACGTTTCACCTGCATCTCTGGCAAGCATCCTCAGAGGTAGTGAGGTCTGTGGAACACAGAAATGCTGATGATGCTTGCCATGGATGCAAGCGAAACGTCAGGAGAAATGCCTCTAGAACATGGCCCTATAGCCCGAAAAAACCTACAAGAACCTAGTGATTCCAGCCATGAAAGCCTTCGACAATACATTTTAAATTTTGCAGTAAATTATCATACACAGGTTTATGGATATCATTGTCCACTGCTGTTTTTTTTTGAAGCCCACTAAGTATAGTGAGTGTCAACTGTTAAAGCAGTTACCCCCCCCCCTTCAATGTGATGGGAAGCTTCCCACCGGAGTGGAAATCATCTATTGGACAGATGGCAAGCTATTCAACCTCAGCAGACTGAAAGCCAAAACCAAGGTTACAACATCTGTTATAGAACTCCAGTATGCTGATGACAACGTCATCTGTGCGCATTCAGAAGAAGATCTACAAGCCACTCTAAACACCTTTGCAGAAGCATACGAGAAGCTCGGCCTGTCATTGAACATTGAAAAAACCAAGGTGCTGTTCTAGCAGACACCAGCCAGCCCTCTCCAATGCCAGTGATACAGCTTAATGGTGTAACATTAGAAAATGTTGATCATTTCTGCTACCTTGGCAGCCACCTCTCCACCAAAGTCAACATTGACACCGAAATACAACACCGCCTGATCTCTGCGAGTGCAGCATTTTTCCGAATGAAGCAGAGAGTGTTTGAGGACTGGGACATCCGTAGGGATACCAAGGTGCTTGTTTACAGAGCGATTGTCCTCCCAAACCTGCTATATGCCTGTGAGAAGTGAACTGTCTACAGACGTCACATGCAACTCCTGGAACGATTCCATCAGCGCTGCCTCTGGAAAATCCTGCAAACGGACAAACATCAGCGTGCTGGAAGAAGCAAAGACCACCAGCATTGAAGCGATGGTCTTCCGCCATCAACTCAGCTGGACTGGCCACGTAGTCCGGATGCCCGACCACCTTCTCCCAAAGCAGTTGCTCTACTCCGAACCCAAGAACGGAAAACAGAATGTTGGTGGACAGGAAAAGAGATTTAAAGATGGGCTCAAAGCCAACCTTAAAAACTCTGGCATAGACACTGAGAACTGGGAAGCCCTGGCCCTTGACCGAGTTAAATAAGACTATCTTCATGACTGAACAATTGTAATAAGTATAGCAAGAGTAGTAAACTGTTCCTGGGTCAGGGGAGGGGATGTGGTGGTGGTGGGATAGGGAAAAATACTTGTATTTTGACTGCTGAATTTTGAAGATTGTATGTTTCTATGTATGTGTGTGTGTCTATTATATATATATATATATATATATATATATATATATATATATATATATATATATATTAGGGCTGGGCAACCACGGAAAAATTTGTTTCTAAACTCGATTCGTTTTTAGGGGTTTTTGCGTTTCGATTTTTAAAAGAATTCCGAAATTTTTCTTTAAAAAAGTTCGAAATTTACGAAATTTCGGAAATTACGAAACAATTATGAAACAATTACGAATCGATTCGTTAATGGCGGACGCGATTGCGCAATACGCTAAAAAAAACCTCCAAATGGGACAGGGGGAACTTCTGAAGCTTCCCTCTCCCTCTGTTGTTGACTGTTGGTGTGATAATTATTTTTTTTCACTGATAAAACAAACAACAACTATAAAACTTGCACCAGACATGCGGAAATAATAACGAAACGATTTCGAAACGATTTCGAAACAATTACGAAACAATTACGAAACGAATTGAAAAAATTCGTTTCGTTTTTTAGTTGCTCCTGAATGGTTCAATATCGCTTCGTTATAAAAAATAACGAATTAATAACGAATTACGAAATTAACGAACGAAACCGCCCAGCCCTAATATATAATTTTTTTTACAAAAAACTAATGTGGGAAGGTTAAGGGCCATGAGTCATTGTAGCCCCTTGTTATCCTATGTAGCAGTTCTCAGAGCAGTATTGATGAACAACATGCTTTGTTTCGACATGCAAATAATGTTGCATACAATACAATACACTTATGGCAGCACAGAATGAAAAGTTGTTGTTGAGTGCCTTAAAATAGCTTCAAATCTTTGGCGTCCCTAAGGCAAATCTATCATGGAGTTTTCTTGGCAAGATTTATTCAGAAGAGTTTTTCCATTGTATTCCTGTAAGGCTACAAGAGTGTGATTTGCCCAAGGTCATCCAGTGAGTTTCAGTGACTGAGTGGCAATTCAAACTGTGGCCATAGTCATAGTCCATAGTCCATAGAGTCATAGTTCAAGCCACTCCATTACTTAATTATTGATCTTTCTTTTTCAGAACCATGTTTGATTAATGATGAAACCTTTGGCAATTACAATATAGAAATGAAATGGAGGTTGGAAGGAGAACTGTATTTCTTACATGGTAATATTATTGAATTCATGTGTAAACCAGGATATGTTCTGCCCTTAACAACCAGGGAATCCCAGTTGATGGTACAGTGTAATGATGGAGAACTGAAATATCCTGAGTGTATTTTGAAAGGTAAAATATTCTGTTCATCAGATGTTTCAGTGGAGTTCTACAATTAGAAGAGTTAACTCTTAATATATTGGTCAGATAATGTTTAGTATAGCTAATAGGCCTGCGCGATCAATGAAAAAAATGTTGCTAAATTAGAGGTGGTGGCAAATCATTTCTAAAATATCGTAAGGGGTTCAAATAGTAACTATAACAATATAACATTTTTTCATTACTTTTTCATTAAGTAATTGCTCCAATGGGGAAACTTTATGGGCTCCTTTCTTCCTTATTGTTAAAGATATCAGCATTAAACTTGCTATAACTGTAGAACACATTTATCAATATTATTATTATTATTATTATTATTATTATTATTATTATTATTATTATTCTCTTTATTTGTACTTTGCTAGCATCTCCCGAAGGACTCGATGCGGCTTACAAAGGCCAAGGCCACAATTTATTTATTTATTTATTTATCGTGTCATCAGCAACCATTGTATTACAATTCTAACAGAGCAAAACAAACACAGAGATTAAAAAGAAAAAGAAAAAAACCCACACATTTTGCGAATTTGGTATTTGGTTAAATGTCCTTTGACCAGTATCTGGCCACTTGGAGTGCCTCTGGTGTTGCCGCAAGAAGGTCCTCCATTGTGCATGTGGCAGGGCTCAGGGTGCATTGCAGCAGGTGGTCTGTGGTTTGTTCTTCTCCGCACTCGCATGCCGAGGATTCCACCCTGTAGCCCCATTTCTTAAGATTGGCTCTGCATCTCGTGGTGCCAGAGCGCAGTCTGTTCAGCGCCTTCCAAGTCGCCCAGTCCTCTGTGTGCCCAGGGGGGAGTCTCTCATCTGGTATCACCCATGGATTGAGGTGCTGGGTTTGGGCCTGCCACTTTTGGACTCTCGCTTGCTGGGGTGTTCCAGCGAGTGTCTCTGTAGATCTAACTATGTCTTGATTTAAGTCGTTGACGTGCTGGCTGATACCCAAACAGGGGATGAGCTGGAGATGTCTCTGCCTTGGTCCTTTCACTATTGGCTGCTACTTCCCGGCGGATGTCAGGTGGTGCAATACCGGCTAAGCAGTGTAATTTCTCCAGTGGTGTGGGGCGCAGACACCCTGTGATAATGCGGCATGTCTCATTAAGAGCCACATCTACTGTTTTAGTGTGGTGAGATGTGTTCCACACTGGGCATGCATACTCAGCAGCAGAGTAGCATAGCGCAAGGGCAGATGTCTTCACTGTGTCTGGTTGTGATCCCCAGGTTGTGCCAGTCAGCTTTGTATGATGTTGTTTCTAGCACCCACTTTTTTGTTTGATGTTCAGGCAGTGCTTCTTGTAGGTCAGAGCACGGTCCAGAGTGACTCCCAGGTATTTGGGTGCGCTGCAATGCTCCAGTGGTATTCCTTCCCAGGTAATCCTCAGAGCTCGGGATGCTTGTCTGTTCTTAAGGTGAAAGGCGCATGTCTGTGTTTTAGATGGATTAGGGATCAGTTGGTTTTCCCTGTAATAGGCAGTAAGTGCACCTAGAACTTCGGAGAGCTGTGGCCTTCTGTTCTTTGAGATGGTAGAACAGAAGGCCACAATAAAACAACAATATAACAATTACATATAAACCAAAAGCAAATCAAAAACATTAAAGCAATAACAGTAAAAACAGCACACTGTGACACAATAAAACTAAGCCGGGCAAATGTACTGTTACTTCACCCCTTCATCTTTCAGAATGTTTCACTCATCCACTGATTTTTGCATACTTTTTAAAATGTTTACAAACAACATTTTTTTTAAAAAAAAACAAAACTACAGAAGTTATCTGCTTGATTTTGTCTACAAGGACAAAAGGTAACCAGGGTATAATTCCCCCCAAGTTTCAGAAAGATTCGCATATCTCCTAATTTTTGGGAATTTTAAAATTTTTGAAAAAAACTTTTTTTGAAAAAAACGCCACAACCGCTATCTCCTTTCAATGTTTCTATATAACACACAACATATATCAGCGGTCCTCAAACTTTTTAAACAGAGGGCCAAATCACAGTCCCTCAAACTGTTGAAGGCCCGATTATAATTTGAAAAAAAACATGACTGAATTCCTATGCAAACTGCACATATCTTATTTGTAGTGCAAAAACACTTAAAAACAATACAATAATTAAAATGAAGAACAATTTTAACAAATATAAACTTATTAGTATTTCAATGGGAAGCGTGGTCCTGCTTTTGGCTGATGAGATAGGATTGTTGTTGTTGTTGTTGTTGTTGTTGTGTGCTTTCAAGTCATTTCAGATTTAGGTTGACCCTGAGTGAGGGCCGGGTAAACGACCATGGAGGGCCGTATCCGGCCCCCGGGAGGTAGTTTGAGGAACCCCTGACATCACAGAACTCAAATTTAGGGATTTTCCTCCCAGTCAGCACAGATTTCCAAGCAATCTTTGCAGATTCAATAATTTATTGGAACTCTGCTATTACGGATGGACAATAGCTCTCCCTTACCCCATTGGAGCTTTCTGATATGAGCGGAATTCTGGGGAATGTAGTTTAGGCCACAGGGGTTCTCACCTTCCCAAACTACATTTCCCAGAATTCTCAGTCTCCCTCCCAGCTCACTTGCCCTCCCAATGGCAACATCAAGCTTAATTTAAAGAGGAATAGCCTCTTTGGCTTCACACCACTGGTACAGTTTGCTGTTTGTGCTGAAAATGAAACTGAATTTGGGAGATTTACGAGGTTTAGTGAACTGTCATAAAAAGTCATAGGTGAAGGGTTTTGATTCTTACATTTTTTGCATCGGCACTCCTCACATTTCTTAATATCACTTTGTATGTATGAATCTTATGAAATACTATGACAAACGAGATACAAATGACTTTTCTTTTGCATAGCCCTAATTACTAATATAAATTTCTGATGTAGAGAATCGGTGGAATGATCCACTTTGCCTCCCCTTTAAGTATGGAGCCTGCCGGCTGCCACTACAGAACACACTACTACTTCCGGTATGTCTCCATGCTTAAAGGGGAGACAAAGTGGAGCATGTCGCTGATTCTTCCCCTGTCTGATGGTGTGGCTCTCCCATAAGCACCATCATTCTATCTAAAAGCATGGGAGGCTTCCCCTGTTGGCTTGGGTTGATGGGAAAAGCAGGATGGTCAACACTTCCCTCCATGGGATTGCCCTGCCAGGTAGCCAGATGATGCAGGGCATGGGGCGATGGGTTCCCCATACCCCCCCCCCCCCCCCCCACAGCAGTCGGCAGATTCATCACAATATGGCCAGTGTGAAGAGGTCGTGCATATTGAAGATATAGGCAGCTATTTTTCTGCTACTCATGAAAATAATAATAATAATAATAATAATAATAATAATAATAATAATAATAATAATCTTTATTTATACCTCACCACCGACTCCCATAGGGACTCGGGGTGGCTTACAAAATAACACACAGGGGATTCATTGGTACATTTATGGAACAATGAATCCAAACTAAAGAAATTGCAATTTTACCTAAACATTAGGAAGAATTTTCCCATTGTTAGAGCTGTTTGGTATTGTGGAGGAGTCTTCTTCTTTGAAGGTTCTTAAACAGAAGCTGTATTCCTGTAAAGTGGGGGCTGAACTGGATGGCCCTTATGGACTCTTCCAACTCTATGTTTCTATGACTCTATGAATCTAAGATAATTTCATCTCATCTCTTTTATTGTATTTTTACCTTTTTTGTAGGCAAAAATGAAAACTGTGGCTCTCCACCTTCCATAGAAAATGGAGTTGTGATAGGCTCACCAACAACGAACTATATCCCAGGTTCTTCAGTAGAATACAATTGCCATGAATATCATTTTTTGCAAGGGTCAAGAACAGTGTTCTGTTCAAGAGGCCAGTGGACTACCCCACCCAGTTGCATAGGTATTGTCCAGTGTTGTTAAGTTTTGTTAAGGAACTATCAGTGCTAATATTGCATTTTCTAATTCAGGCCATTATCTAATTACATCGTGTACTGGTACGGCTGTAACAGGAGCTCCAACTTTATTTCTTTCTGTTAAAGTTTGCAGTTAAAAGGTAGGCCTCCTGTCCATTTTAATTAAGCTTTGGTTCCGCCCCTTGTTCAGGCTTCTGGGAGGGAAAGGAGCCATTTTGGGCAGTCTCACACAAGGTAGCTTAGCTATAGGATGTAGACCAGCTCGTCCCGTAGAAAAGCTTCCTTTCTTAAGAGCATCCAGGAAAAAAGAACATCTGGGGATACAGAAACAGAAATTCCAGGGGAAAGGTCCCAAAAGCTCTGGCTAAGAGCTCTCAGCCTCTCAGCCTCACAGCATCAGAGGGAAACAGCCCTGAAGTTTTCTAAGAATTCTCAAAGGGAGAACAGCACTACAGATCCACGGAACTCCAGCTGAAATATCTTCAAGCCTCGGCTGGTAGGTCTACTCGATACCCAGACGCATTTGGAATCGGTAGTAGGACTCACACCGATGAGGCATAGATAGAAAGCAGCCTGGGAGAGGTTAAAAGGGGGTTTTTCCTACAAAAAAAGTTCAGTTAATCAAAGTCAGGTACCAGTCTGAGGACTAGACTAAGAAAGCCCTTGAAGTGTTGTTTGTTCCATAATAAAGACTTTGTTGTATCATTAAAGACTCTAAAGACCATCACTTCAGAAAAATCCCTGAGAACCTCTCTTTGAGGCGCCCCTGGCTTCCCACTGGGCTTAAAGTATATGTCCTATAGAAAAGTACAGCTATTACAGGCCCAGCGCGCGACAGAACATATTGTATAAGTATTATTATCGTTTGCAACCAATCAACAATCTTTCGTCTAACCATCTAATGAAACTGAACCTGTAAATTATTGATGATTGTAATATATTAATCGTATCCCCTTTAAATATGTTAGCATTGGGGAAGTTTACTGCTAAATTGAATGCTATTATCAGCAATAATAACATTTCATTTATTTTTTTAAGAACCATGTACCTTATCACATGAAGAGATGGCAAACCATAATTTGGATCTGAGATGGAGTTTTGACAACAGGCCTTATTTTCTGCATGGAGAATTTGTTGAGTTTATATGCAAACGTTTCCACTTGAGATCACCATCAACTTCAGAAGCTGATTTCAGAGTAAAGTGTCAGAATGGGCAACTGCTGTATCCACATTGCATTGGAATAAGAGGGTAATGTAGTAAATTATTTGCAAAGAATAGAAAGTAACTTCAGAGACATCATATTTTCATGTTACTAAAGTTTCAGTAACAACATAACTGAAGAGCGAATCATTATAATGGTATGGTTTTTGGTCCATCCTTTGTATCTGCAGTATGGAAACAATTCAGACATTGACTGGAGGTGGGCACTGTTTATACCACTTCAGATACACATATAGATCTACATAGGTTTGCCTCCCCTTTAAGTATGCTGCCAGGCTGAGAAAGGCGGTATACAAATACAGTAAATAAATAAATAATAAATAAAGGCCCTTTAACATCCCCCAATTATAGCCATTGCTGAGTCCTATGAAATTCTGAGATTCACATTCTTGAGTAGGTGTTTGACAGCCTATAGACCCAAAAAGCACCAATCTTGGAAATTTAGCAGGGTCGGATCTGTTAGTATAATACAACACAGCCTGTAGTTGCTTGAAGACATGTATTGTTTTTCATTTGAAATGGTATTATTATTATTATTATTATTATTATTATTATTATTATTAGTGCCAAAATTATACCTGAGCATTCATACGAAATTCATGGAGCTGCCATAAGTCAACAGGTGACTTGAAGGCAAGCTAGTGTGTTTGCAAACATGTGCACACATGCTTACAAGTTTCAGCATGAGCTCTCCTCAAGTGTCTCATCAAACTATATTTCCCAGGATTCCATAGAATTCTCTCATTGCAATTAAAAAGAAAGCGTAGGACTATAATTGTGTAGTGCAAAGGGGCCTTAAGAAGTGAGTTTTTATAAGAAAACACTTTCAAATATCCTAGATCTTATTGATCAGTTTTAATGAGAAGAAACCGTGTGTATCAATTGTTGAATTATGCATTATTAATGCATAGTTAAATCCAATTGATTCTATGGGTTTACTCTAGTTGGAACTGACTATAGGAACCTGAAGACGCAGGTTCGCAGCTTGGGTGTGATCCTGGATTCATCGCTGAGCCTGGAACCTCAGGTTTTGGTGTTGTCCAGGGGAGCATTTGCACAGTTAAAACTTGTGCGCCAGCTGTGCCCGTACTTTGGGAAGTCTGACTTGGCCACGGCAGTCCACGCTCTGGTTACATCCCATATAGACTACTGCAATGCACTCTATGGGAGTTGCCTTTGAAGACTGCTCGGAAGCTTCAAATGGTCCAACACTCAGCAGCCAGGATGCTAACAGGAGCGGCACTCAGGGAGCATACCACTCCTCTGTTGCACCAGCTCCACTGGCTGCCAGTTTGCTACCGGGCACAATTCAAAGTGCTGGCTTTAGCCTATAAAGCCCTAAACGGTTCTGGCCCGACTTACCTGTCTGAACGCATCTCCTCCTATGAACCAGCTAGGACATTAAGATCATCTGGGGAGGCCCTGCTCTCGGTCCCACCGGCATCACAGGCACGACTGACAGGGATGAGAGACAGGGCCTTCTCAGTGGTGGCCCCTCGGCTGTGGAACGCCCTTCCTACAGATAGCAGATCGGCCCCCTCCTTATTGGCATTTCGGAGGAAAGTGAAGACCTGGTTGTTCGAACAGGCATTTGATTAGGCAGTGTAATTGATTATAGGAACACGGAATAACGGATGATGAGATTGGATTCTGATTCTATTGATGAGACGTGAATGATTTGTCATATTGATGTTTAATTGTTGTTATGCTATTGTTTTTAAATGCTCCAATGGTTTTGTAATGTGTGTATTGAAATTGCTGTTGTTAACCGCTTTGAGTCGCCTAAGGGCTGAGAAAAGCGGTATATAAATCAAGTAAATAAATAATAAATAAATTCAAGACTTACGACCTTGTCACATGGCTGCTTTGAGCCGTGTTATTTCACCAGTGAAAGTGTAAGCGTGTGAAGTGGCTCATGGTGCTCCCACGTGCCCCCCCTCTCCTCATCATATGGAGGGATAGCTGAATGGTGCGGTTCATCTTTGTGCTCTAAGTTTTGTAAGTAATGTCTGTTTGTCTGGATTGTCTTTTCTTTGGATGACATTTGATGTATTTTGCTATTTTTAGGTGATAAAACAATGGAGAAAAGGAAGCCTGGATGACTCTTTCTATTGCAAGATGGTTGCCAATATGAATTTTGGCTCAGATGTTGACTGTCACAGGGTACTTTGGTCAACCAGGATGTCTGGGATAGCTGAACACCTCAATTTAAAACATCATTTGAATATTCTTTTGAAAGTACAAACTCACTGTCTATTTGCTGTAATAAAGGGGATATTTTGTTGCCTTACATTTCCTAAATGGCAGATTTGTGAAATTTATATTTATTTGTATTTAGGAAGGAGACATATCAGCTAACACTCAACATTACAAAAAAACCTCCAGCTAATCCCATTTTCCCAATTCTGTGGGTCTGGATTCATGTGAACAGATAAAATCACCAGCCCATTTTATCTACTCTTTTCATTTCAAATTGATGCTAGGATCATATTAAATAATGAAATGCCAGGTGTGTCTCACCTCTCCATACATACCGCTTCCTACTAAGTAATCTTCCTTTTTACAGTACTACAACAATTCAGTATTTTAAAAGCTTTAAAGTGTTTTTCAAGACTGCTGAAAGAATTAGCCAAATGTACCATATTTTTGGAAAATATGTCAGTTCCTCAATAAGGTGTGTTTCATCTTTTCATGTTGTTGTTTATTAGTTCAGTCGCTTCTGACTCGTCATGACCTCATGAACCATCCCACGCCAGAGCTCTCTGTTGGCCATCACCACCCTAGCTCCTTCAGGGTCAAGCCAGTCACTTCAAGGATGCCATCCATCCATCTTGCTCTTGGTCGGCCCCTCTTCCTTTTTCCCTCCATTTTCCCCAGCATCATTGTCTTCTATAAGCTTTCCTGTCTTCTCATTTTGTGGCCAAAATACTTCATCTTTACCTCTAATATCCTTCCCTCCAATGAACAGTCAGGCTGTCACGCTTTATCTCACAATTCAGCAGCAGATCAGTTGCACAACTTCAGTACTTTCCAGTAGCTTCTTCCTGCACAGTATTTTCAGTCAACTGCCCCCACAGACTGCAGTCACTCTGGAACTCTTTACAGACACTTGAGCGCATGCCTGGCTATTGTCAGTTTTACCATTGTCCCCCCCCCTGCCAATCTAGATGACACTACAAACTTACCACAACACACGGTTATATCTTGTCTTAGCAGACAGGTTCCTTTAATCAGTTACACAGAGCCTTCGGCAAACAGCATCACAGCACAAGGAGAGAAAGAATACACTATACATGACTTCCTTATATACAATTCTGTATATTTACACATAGCAATCTCTGATTGGTTCCCAACTCATTGACTTAACTCAAACCCAGGATTGCATCATTAACACTCATTTGGACCAGGCCAAAACACATTCCCCAAATGATGTCCTATATACAGTTAATGCATGACTCAGCATTTCCAATAGAAGCCTATTAGCAGTGCATGACTCAGCTATATTACATTACAATACATTGTAATTTCCTAAAGTATGGACTGGTTGGATCTTCTCGTAGTCCAAGGCACTCTCAGAATTTTCCTCCAACACCACAGTTCAAAAGCATCTCTCTTCATTCTCTCAACCTTCCCTATGGTCCAGCTCTTACATCTGTAGGTGACTACAGGGAATACTATTGCTTTTACTATGAAGATCTTCGTTGCTAATGTTATGTTTCTACTCTTCACTATTTTATCGAGATTGGTCATTGCTCTTCTACCAAGAAGTAAACATTTTCTGATTTCCTGGCTGAAGTCTGCGTCTGCAGTAACCTTTGCACCTAGAAATACAGTCTGTCACTGCCTCCACGTTTTCTCCCTCTATTTGACAGTTATCAATCATTCTTGTTGCCATAATCTTGTTTTTTTTATGTTTAGCTGCAACCCAGCTTTTGCACTTTCTTCTTTCACCTTCTTTCGTCTTCTCATACTGCTATCATATATGCGTATTACGTGCTACCAATGGATAATGTCACAAACATTTGTATTCTACTTATCTATTGAATTAGAGGCACCATCAATGAAATATGATTATCCAGCAACTGCCAACTGCTGTCAAATATCAAATGGGATCTTTTCTCTTAATCTTTTGCTTGGAAGGGCTTCTGTATCACTGTGTCAATTTCAGCTATTGTTCTTCTGTTTTTTGTTTATTAAGAAAAGGGGTTATATCTGGATAATGTTTCCATACTAACAGTTAGAAGGCACTATTCAGCTATTTTGGCTTTTTTTTATTAATCAGAAAGGACTGTAGAAGTGGGCTTCAGGTATTATTGAATTGGAAGCCAGGGCCACATATGGCCTATGACTAGCCGTTTTCCCCTCCTCTGCCTTCTTGGATTATCCACAAAAAGCAGTGGGGGTGGGGTGGGGTGGGGGTGGGGACAAAGGAATGTTACAATTATATGAAAAAGTTGTCTAAAATAATTGAAAAATTCATGAGAATGAACCTCATAAAGATGCATTGTCAAGGGGGAAATTTATTTCTTTAGGCACTTTGCATCTGTGATAGCAAAAAAGTGCTAATGCTTTGATTTGTTATATTAGTTTTAAAATGTGAGGACTTGAAAGCAAAGAGAAATAGCAGAAGCTCTTATGAAAAACAAGGGCAAAGACTGCTTGGGTCAGCACTGTTTGCATAATTCCTTGTCCCTAAATAGAAAGTTTTGTGTGTGCCTGTGTGTTGCAATTGAGTTAAAAAGGGCATGACTTTAGAAGAAGTCATAAACAAGGCAATTCCTTGGAATAGATTTTTAAAAATCCAGAGTCCACCCAACAGATTGTTAGAACCAGCCAGGCAGAAGCGGTGAGACACGGTGAGAAAACTTTGGGAAGTTTTGAAATGGCATTATATTTGCTGGGCTCCACGATTCTGCTGTTGCTATGGTTCAGTTCAGCACAGAAAGGTAAGTTGCTCTTGAACTTGAAATCAAAAATAATAACCGGCAATGTGTTAAAATGTACAGAAATATTTTTTTATTGGAGTTAGAATCATAGAATCATAGAATCATAGAGTTAGAAGAGACCTCATGGGCCATCCAGTCCAACCCCATGTCAAGAAGCAGGAAAATCAAATTCAAATCACCCCCGACAGATGGCCATCCAGCCTCTGTCACTTCCAACAGACCTCACAACCTCTGAGGATGCTTGCCATAGATGCGGGTGAAACGTCAGGGGAGAATGCCTCTAGACCATGGCCATACAGCCCAAAAAAACCTACAGCAACCCAGTGATTCCGGCCATGAAAGCCTTCAACAATACATAAAAAATGTTTGTTATTTTGGTTTTAGCTTTTATCATCCCATCCACTAAAGAATGACTGAACAAATGTTTTCATCCTTCTTCATGCTGATGATGCAAAATTGATTTTTAAGCCTCATTTCTAGAATCTCTAGGTCTTCCAGCATGATTCTGTGGTCACAATCTAATAGGTGTTTTCCATAGAACTACAGTAAAGAATTTAAAGATTGCTAGATGAAGAAATCTGTGTCCTTAACAGGAAGTTCAATGGTCAAGCTCAATAAAGAGAATGTGAAATAGCCATTATTCAGCTTATCCTAGGTAAGGGGGAACATGTGACAAATAAATGATTGAGACTGAAAATGCAGAAATCCTTTACAAAAAAGTAAATAAATAAAGTTAAGCTGTTTGCTTTCTGAAAGGCTAGGCAATACTGCAGTTGAGTATTTTTTTTCCCCCCACGTTCTCCTTTTTCCCTTCTTTTTCAGTTCCAGTATACCAACAACAACAAGTTGTTCATGAAGATTTGGTGAACCTCTTGACTGATCCAGGTAAGATTAAACTTCAACAGCTTAAAACTTAAAACAGTTTAACAATTTAGAATTAGGAGACATAAATGGCTTATGTCTTTATTACTCTTGTTATGGTTTTATACTATGTATTAATGTTTTAAATGTTTTATGATGTTCTTGGGCATCGAATCGTTGCCTCTGTAAACCACCTTGAGTTGCCTGAGGGCTGAGAAGGGCGGGATACAAATACAGTAAATAAAATAAAATAAAATAACTTTGTCCACCAATCCATATGATGAGAATGACCTTACAGCAGAAATAAAGAAAATATTTTGTGGTCCCAAAGTCCCCAGATCAGCTATTCTAAATTATTTTTTCCATTGGCATTTGTGTGGTTTCTGTGTGTGTGTGTGTTTTTTTTTTGCTCCCAATGACCTCAAAAATTGTCAACATTTCCAGCTAACATAGTGGTCTTGCTTAACACACGCTGAATAACATCTAGCCCCCCCCCCCCAAAAAAAAACCCCAAGCTCAAACCTAATGCTGCTTGGGAGGAAATATATCATTGGCTTGTATTTTAGATACATTTAGAATTTTATTAAGTTTAAGTAAGGTAAGGCATATATACCCAAGAAGTATTCCCAGCATTTCCAAACTCAGATTTTTAACTCTTGAGCATAAGTTCTCTAACCATTTTAACCTTTAACCTTTATCTAGTAATGTCACACCAATCAATAGTTTGCACATTTAAATTGTGATATAATTGTATGCGTGACTGCATCTCCGTCTGTGAACCCACACGTTCCCTTCGTTCATCCGGAGAGGTCCTGCTCGCGATCCCACCTGCGTTGCAGGCGCGTTTGGTGGGGACGAGGGACAGGGCCTTTTCTGTGGTTGCCCCCCGGCTTTGGAACACCCTCCCCAAAGACATCAGACTAGTACCCATGTTGGCAGTCTTTAGGAAGAGCTTGAAGACCTGGCTATTCCGAGGTGCCTTTCCAGAATAGGAAAACTCCAGCATTATGTCCCAGAAGCACTTCATTCGAATTTTAAGATTCTCCGCACATTGCACTTGTCCTGAAATCCAACATGCCACCTGTCACACCCAGCACTTTTTAATTCTGTACCCATTACTTGGCCCGGCCCTAGTTTTTACTGTGTTACGGTGTAATGTTTTGTTGTTATTGCTTTATGTTTTTGATTTTGCTTTGAGTTGTACTGTTGTTTTATTGAGGGCCTTGGCCTTTGTAAGCTGCACCGAGTCCTTCGGGAGATGCTAGCGGGGTACAAATAAAGAATAATAATAATAATAATAATAATAATAATAATAATAATAATAATAATATGCTTAAAAACGGAAAGGATTCTAGTAATGACAAAGACAGAGGTCTCGGTCCACACCAAAGATGTTCCATTTGGCCATTATTATTAAAATTATATTCTTCGATGTTTCCATTATAGAGATTCCAGCGAAATGTGGCCCTCCACCAGCTATTGATAATGCAATGCTTATTGCTCGCCAAGCACATGAATACTTTTCAGGTGCAACCGTGATATACCAGTGCTATAGACTGTATGTAATGGAAGGCACTCCAATTGCAAGGTGTTCAAATGGTCACTGGAGAGGCGTGCCCAGATGTGTGCGTAAGTGTAAAATATATAAACCTGATTACTCTGTTACTAGTGGGGGAGGACCTTGAAAAAAATATAAGACAGGCATGGATATTTTCTGTAATATCCCATTTGATGTGGTGTAAAAGGTTAAAGTTAGGTCTGACTATCACTAGAACATTGCTTTGTACAAAAAGGCAACAGTCAGTTTGCTGTTTACCTGTCCGAACAGATTCTCCCCTATGAACCATCAAGGTTGTTAAGATCTGGAGGAGCCCTGCTCTCGGTCCCACCACCTTCGCAATCGCGTTCAGTGGGGACGAGGAACAGGGCCTTCTCGGTGGTGGCCCCTCGGCTTTGGAACTCCCTCCCGATGGAGATTAGATCTGCCTCTTCCCTCCTGATGTTTAGGAAGCTGGTAAAAACATGGCTTTGGGATACTGCATTTGCAGAATGATGACTGAGTCAATAACTGCTGACGTTTCTGGCGGATGGTGATGAATTTGTGATTCTTTTTGACGAACTGATTTTTGCTGTAACTTGTATGAATCGTATTTTAATATATTTTATATTGATTATTTATAATGTTTTTCTTATTGTCTTGAATCTTATGTTGTTAGCCGGCCTGAGTCCTTCCTTGGAGGTCGAGAAGACCGGGTTATAAAAACTCTAAATAAATAAATAAATAAATAAATAAATAAATATTTTTTTTTTAAAGCATATATATGGATGTTGCTGAAGACATCATTGGGCAGGTAGTATTGGTCCTTGCGATTGCACTATAGCCGCTGTGAACTAAGCTTGAATCAAGCTGTGGAGTTTTAATGCATGTCCTGTATATGATTACAGTGTAATAGAAAAAAATATAAAATGTTGGCTCATATTAATTCATAGAAATAGAAACAAGTTTTTGCTTCAAACACCAATTGAAGCAAAAACTGTGTATTGGAGGCACTCCTCAAACAGTCACATATGTACTTTCAGTAGATTTTTATTTGATGTGGTTCTAAGTGGCTACTCCTATCTTCATTTAGATGATTAAACCTCCATTCCTGATTACTAGCTAGGACCAAATCAAGTAGTAGTAGTTTCATTATTGATACAAGGGAAGGCAAATCACTACTGTGCAAACTTGGTTTTGAATTAAATTAGGGCCTAGTTTTTGAGTTCTTTGACATAGGACAGCTCCCACCCCTAGGTCATTGCCTTCCACAATTCACATTGTTTCCCTAATCAGCCAAGGTTTCCATACTAAGCATGAACACCTGAAGGAATCCTGTGCATAGAGTGATTATCTATGTCAGTGGTTCTCATCCTGGGGTCCCCATATGTTTTTGGCCTTCAACTCTTAATAAATCCATTGTTTGGCAGCAAATAATGAGTTTATTTTAATTATTAACTTACTATTTATCTTAGCTGAATGTCAAACTGACAACATGTCATCAAAACATATTGTCACAATGCTGCAACTTGATACTGAAGTTGAAAATTTCAAAATCTGGGCTCAATAGCTCTGTCTGTACCCATAAATTCTATGTCCAGAAATTCAACTATTTGTGGCTTGAAAATATGTTTAAAAATCCAAAAAAACAAATCTTTATTTTACCATTTTATATGAGAGATAAAATTTTATTATGACATTTTATATTAAAGGGGGGGGGGGCACTGTATTCATGCACTTCTCTGAACAACTAATGATAGGCAAATCTTACCAGTAAGCATCCTAACTTCCAGTTGAGTCAGCTTGATAAACTTGTTAAAATGAACCCTCAGGGCACTTAATAATTTTAAACTAATTGTTCACTGTGAATTTTACTTAGAAGGTTTTTCTTTTTCTTTTTTCAGAAACATGTAGAGCAAATGAAAGTGATATGGATGATAACAATATACAACTGAAATCAATAACTAAATCAACATCCATGAGAGCATCTGATTACTGGATGGAATTTGAGTGCAGAGCAGGATTCCATAAGGATCCGTCATCACCACCTTTTAGAAAACAATGTGTAAAAGGACTATGGGTGTATCCAAGATGCATATAGCTGAGTAAGTTCCTACTGGTTCAGTTACAGAGAATTCACACCATGTTTATGTTAAATCCTTATAGTAATAAAGGTAGGATTATTTTGAATTAGCATGGTATAATAGTTTGAGCATTGGATTACAACTCTGGAGACCAAGTTTTGAATCCCCACTCAGTCACAAAAAACGAAACAAAAAACAATATGAGACTTGAAAAAATTCAATAGGGACATAATGGTCCCAATACAAGTATTCACAGAAAAAGCAAAATAAGTGATTACCTGATAAAATGGCCTATCTTCTGTTCAATTTTGAAATAATATTCGAATATTTGATGGTTGGCTAAGAGGAATGGCAGCATTATTTTTTTTTTTACAGAAATTCCTATCCAATAATTTCCTGCTATTTTTTCTTCATTCTTTCAGCAGCTGGAAACTGGATTAAATTCAAGAGAGAGAGATGTATTTGAACAGATACATTTAATTGAATATGGGGATCAACACACTTGGGATTCATTTACCAGAGACCCGAAGAATCTGGATCATTTTCAGATCAAACATAAAATTATGCCTCTGCCTAAATCAATCATTGTTTCTTCATTTGCCAAATACCGCTTTTTAAGCTTCTAAAACTTTGCCTTAGTACAATAATAAACATTGTTGTTTCAATATTATGTTTAATTGTCTCCCAGATAATTTCTTTTGCTTGTTCCTGTATCTTTCCCATTCCCATGGAACCAATTTTTTTGGTTATTTCAAGATGAACATAGAATGAAGTTTTGGTCAGTTCTTAAATTTCCGTACCTTCTTTTCTTTATTTCAAGTAGTTGCTACTGTCACTCATCATCCCTTCATCTTTCTGTTCTCCTTACATTTTCCTGTGATGAAATTCCGAATTATTACTATGAAAATATGAAAAACAATTGTGATGATCAAAGTTTTATGTTACTGTATATCTTAACCTTGCGAAGTTGTTCATGAATGTGAAATTAAAGCAATGACAAAGACATGGTTTGAAGTCTAAGCAAAAACATGCATTCTGATTCTAGTCCTCCTAATTACATAGTTTCCGTTAGATCTCTGGTAGCTATAGCGTACTGAAATGCGCAACTGAGATTTCTCAGCATCTATAATTGAAGATAGTTTGTCCAATTCTTGAAAGATCAGAGGCCCTTTCACATTGTACCATAATAGCAGTATAATTCCACTTTACCTGCTCTAGTTCTCATCTGTGGAAACCTGGGATTTATTATTTAGGGAAGAATGTTTACAATTCTCTCTGGCTTCACCAGGCAGCCAGGAGGAAAGGAGAAGCAGTGGTAAAACCTGCGTGTAGCTCCCTCTCCGTAATGCTTTCTGCATCACAAGGAAAAGCGTCACCTTCCCAGTGAGTCCCTGTGTTGGCTCCATTGAAGCCAGCACAACATGGTAAGCTTCCTGTATTGGGGTGAAAATGTACAGCAATGTTTTCACCACAGTTGAGGACGGGGCTTCCACCAGAAGTCATATAGCATCACGTGATTTCTGGTGTGGGGCTCTGTCCTTTAGATGGGGTGAAAACATTCTAGTATGCTGAATTCACCCCGTCTGATAACGTCCCTAGTCTAATTTTTGCCCTGAAATTCTCCTTCAACAAAGACAGTCTGAGACCCCATTTACACTGCTATATAATGTGGTTTCACAATGCAGTTTAAATGCATTACACTGCATTATATAGCAGTGTAGACTCATATAATCCAGTCCAATGCAGTTATATGACAGTACAGATGAGGCCAGGGAGAGAGAACAGAGCACTGACATTTGTGAGATTGTTTTTTCCCCACAGCATAATGTGCATTTATTGCTGATAACAACAACAACAACAATAACAACACTTTATTTGTACCCCACTACCATGTCCCCAAGGGACTCGGTGTGGCTTACATGAGGTCGAGCCCAAATACAACAATACAAGCAATAATAACAACAATAACAAGCAATTAAAATAAAAATATAAACAATAAAATATGCAACATTAACAATTAAAATTGTGGGAAGGCCAGATGTAAAATTAAAATTGGAAATAATGTTGGAACATGGGCGAAAAAGTGATAGTTGCGTTTGTGGAAAACATACAAGCAGACCTAAAAATGTAAAGTGCTTTGGAGGGCAAAGTGCTATGGAATCATTATTCTGCGAAGGCACACTGGAACAACCATGTCTTCAAGTTCCTTCTAAAGACTGCCGGGGTTGGGGCCTGCCTGATGTCCTTAGGGAGTGAGTTCCAGAGTCGAAGGGCCACCACCAAAAATTCAATGGTCTTGTCATGAAACATGAGAACTACAATATAATGGGGATATTGCAGAAAACCACTGGAGCAGCACTGATGGATCAAGTCCACTTGAATATCACTGAAAGACAGGAATTACATAACAGCAAATTTTAATGTACACATGCTCATCATAGGTACCGTATATCTCTAGAGAATAGGCATGGTTAGGTCCATTCGGAATCCTCAGAATTCGGATTAAATTTGAATCAAATTCTTTTTTGAAGCAATTTCAAAGTGATTTGGGAACCCGGAAATATCCTTGCCCTTTCGAAGCCACTGTCGCCATCTTTGTTCCGAGTCAGGAAGTGAATCGGAAATGACTCAGCATTTGGAGGCAAGCACGCAGCAAGGCAAGCAGCAGTTTGCATGCTGGGATGCTTGCCTCCAGCCAATGAAGGGAAACTATGTGGGGAGGGGCGGGATTACAGCACGGCAGCCATTGCCCTTTAAAAAGGGCTGTGCGTGCCTCGTGGGCTCATTGCGAGCAGGGGACACAAACGGGTTGGGTTGGGAAGGCAGCTTGGGTGGGAAAGGTGCAACCGAGCAAAAGGGTTATGGATAAGGAAGGAAGGGAACAACAAATTGGGGAGAAGAGAACGGCTGGTAGCAGGCCTGTTGCCTGCGAGGCTTGCTTGGGTAGGGAAGAAGGGCAGGGCAGGGAAGCACAAAAGGGCAACTAGGAGAAGTGTTGTTCTCTTTCCTGCCACTGTCTGCCAATTGAATTAAACTTTCTAGAGACCTTGGATTTTGGGATCCCTTTGGACTTTCGGAATCCCCTTATCTGCTAACAATTTCAAATAATTCGTAATAATTTCTAATAATAATATCCCTGCTTGGGTTTGCACACTATTTTTTGTACTTTTTTGTACTTTTTTACTTGTGGAAACTACAAATCTGCTTTTATCTGTTCTAAATTTCCTTGGGGAAACACCCAGCACTACTTGCCTTGAGGCGTGCCTGCTTTGGGAGACACAATGTGCTTGTGAGAACTACAAATCTGCTTTTATCTGTTCAAAATTACCTTGGGGAAGCAGTTTTTTTTGCATATTGCGTAGTTGCGCCCGCCATTAACGAAGCGATTTGGAAATTTTGGAAAATTCCAACTTTTTTCCAGGAAATTTCAGAAATAATTTTCAAACCGAATCACCAGCACCCCCTACATCCGAAATGAGTGTTGAACCATTTTTTTTCCATAATCAAACAAGCCTACCAGAGAAACTACAAATGGGGTGTTTCAAGCACTGAAGAGAGATATGTTGTTTCAGCGTTAACTAACCAGTAGCATCTATTTCACCTCTGCTAGAAACAGCTCTTTTCTCCAGCAAACAGGTTTGAACAGCCCATTCAAAGTTAAAGCATATGAAACCACTGAGATCTAGTTTCAAGCTTATAGAGGACAATGTTCCACAAGCTCATGTTCAGCTTCGTTTCCTTTCCATTTTCCAGGAAGGTTGCCATTTAGCTTTGCAGAATGCTATTTATTGCTGCAGTGAAGAGGAGGTGCAATCCAAGCAGTGACATTTTTTCCTGCTCCAGCAATAGTTCTCCAGACACAGAAATAGGGGCAAAACCCCTTATATCTTTTGTGCGGTGAATATTCCCTTGCACTGAACCTAAAACAAGACAATGTAAAGCTAGGTTCTGAGCTCACGTATTAGCTCACAACAGTGGCATCATCCCTATGGACCTCACCATAATATTGTACCTAAAATACCATAAAACCACCATATAAACTACCATTCCTTCTATAGGTTCTGTTTCAAAAAAGAATAGGATGGGGAAGTTCATCTCAGGCCCCTTCTACACTGTTCTGTATCCCAGGATCAGATCCCAGATTATCAGCTTTGAACTGGATTACATGAGTCTCCATTGCCAGATAATCCAGGATAGGTAGTTTATCTGGGGATCAGATCCTGGGATATAGGGCAATGTAGAAAGGGCCTCAATCATGTCAACTTATTTATTTTTAACCCCTTCCTAATCCCCTCACATTTTTCCTTAACCTTCCTCCTCTCAGGCGTCATCAGACCATTTTCTGGTTTCATGTGACTTGTCCCTTTTCTACAGCCTCCTTCATCCAAATAAGAACAAAAGGCTCCTTCCCATTCCCATATCACTCTGGTCCACCCTTTCTTTGCAAAATTTATCTCAGATAGACTTTTATATCTCCATTCTTTCCATGACCCTGGGCTCAAATCTGCTACCAGGCAAATCCCCATCCCATAGTTGGTAACTGCCCACCACTACTCCCACATTTGTCTGCTTTCTTCTTTGCCTGCAATTATTTTTTTCCTTTCAATAGTTCACCCACCAACCCTCCTAGGACTGTCTATGACCACTATAATACAGCCATGTGCAGACACACAATCTATATGCATCATGTCTGGGGTTTCTGGCTTCTTTCTTTTCTCTCTCCCAGTCCCTTCTCCTTTGTCTTTCTCCTGCTCCTCACGTTTGTCTGTCTCTTCTTTGCAAACAGAGCTGGTTGAGTCTTGATCACCAGTGGCAAATTTAGCCAGAATTCTTCATATGGGCTTGGGGAGGTTAGTAGTAGAAGCTGCCACTGAAAGAAGAGCAAGGGAGGACAAGGAATTTAAAGTTGGCCTAAGCCATTCCAGTCCATTCTTGTTAAATTTCACATCTCTCGAGTTCCTACTAAGTGAAAATTGATTCTCCAAATACAACCCAAAATGCTGAGCCAGTTCCTCATTGGCCTAAGCCATTCTGTTGCTATGGGCGGTGAGATAGACAGACACAAGGAGCACACCAGTGACATAAGTGGTGGGGAAGCTTTGCATCGCTTGGCACTCCACTTGCAGCAACCTTTCCTTGGCAATAGCAACCAAGTGTCCCCTTGTTATTTTGGTGTTACTTTCTCTGACAGTGTCACCAAGCGCATTCCACACTCCCCTTCAGCCCCCTAGCAATGCCACTGGCTCACAGTAATGGAGAAAATGCAACTAAATACAGACAGAATAGAGATGTCTTATTGGGAATGGCAGATAACAGCCTCATCCAGCGGGCAATGCTTCAGATTTTTGAGTCCAGGCTCAAAGATTTGAACCATATAAGCAAAAGTGGTTCAGTACTGCTTGAACTAGTAATATCCTTCTGTTTTTTTTTTGTCGCGTCAGGAGCAACCTGAGAAATTGCAAGTCGCTTCTGGTGTGAGAGAATTGGCTGTCTGCAAGGACATTGCCCAGGGGGCGCCCGGATGTTTTCATGTTTTATCATACTTGTGGGAGGCTTCTCTCATGTCCCTGCATGAGGAGCTGGAGCTGATAGAGGGAGCTCATCCGCCTCTCCCCGGATTCGAACCTGTGACCTGTCAGTCTTCAGTCCTGCCAGCACAGGGGTTTAATCCACTGTGCCACCGGGGGCTCCCATCCTTCGGATCGGATTGGGAGCCCCCGATCCTTCTGTTAAGCAGGCTGCATTATGTTCTTAGCCCTGAAGTTTTCATTAATTATCTGCGGCTATGCTGATAAAGCAGTTTTAGATGGAAGAGCCAATGGTCTTTGAATGACATGCTTCCTCTTTCTTTTCCACCCCAAAATGTATGGTTGGACACAAAAGAAAATACACATCTGATGCATTTTCATCTGTTTTTCCTTCTTAATAACACATCTGGCAGATGAAAGCTCAAGCAAGAGATTTCCAACTTCTTCCCCAACACAAAAAGCAACAATAGTGCTCACTTTATATTAGTATATCTGAAAT